ATGCGCTCTCGGGCCGGCGCTGCGGCTTCCACGCCTGTGTGCGCCACGCGCTGTACCGGCCATCGAGCGTCGTCATCCTGCAGCCGCGGCCCGCGGCCCGCACGAGGCCGGCGCGGGTGCACGCGCTGGCCAAGGCCGGCGACGCCAGCGGCAGCTTCTACGTCGGGCTGCCGGGTGCCGTGGCGGAGATGAGGCTCGGCGAGCAGCACGTGGGCGTCCGGCCGCAGGAGGTGCGCGCCGCTGCCGTCCGCGGCTGGCGCGCCGAGGTCGCCGAGTACAGTTTCCTGGAGATTGGCGATACGAGGATCGACACGGTCATGGACTGGGACGGGCTGGCGTGGTCGGAGAGGGATCTCGGGCTGCGGCCTCTGGCTGGCGCGCCGAGGCTCGTGTCGAAGACGTCGTGGGACAAGGGGCGCGTTGGCGGCGAGGGGGCGTGGCATCGGTGGGATGCGCGGTTCTGGGCGAGGGAGCATTTTGAGGGTCACTCGTTTGTCGAGGCATAGACCGGATAGACTGGATAGACAAGAAAGGCAGGCCGTGACGTGGACGAGGCGCAGACTGGTGGTTGTATTGGAGCAGAACGGCGTTGGCGTCTGGAGATGGTCTTGAAATCATGAGAGTTCCTGTCAAGGCACTCTTTCTGGAACTAGTCTTCCATTCATGGCTTGATTCGCCGAGTTGACGTGATATTCAGCACCAAGCAAGATGCCCGAGATACATCTGCAAGAAGTGAGGAAGTATTTGTTGATGCCTCCACCGAACACCAGACGAATTCTACGCTCGACTCTCCAGCTATTGCGCCGTGACATGACAATGCAAAGTCTGCACTGCCTTCACGTTTCTATGGCGTCCAGGCCGCTGTCATCGACTGCGTACGGCCGTTTACCTCCTACAACCCACGGAATCGGACCTGTCGACGAACGCGAGACATCCTCTTGGTACCACGCAAGCAAGCAGTTGACCCTTGCTATTGGCATGGAAAGGATCCAGCGTTGATAACTGGCGTGACCTCAACTTCATCTCCATCCACCACGGATATGTCGCCAGCCAGCTTTCTTTCCATCAATCAGACGTCCATTACAGCAAACAGCATGACCAACTCAAACATCACGAACCTCAAGGACCTTCAGCACAGCCTCGCCAGAACGCAAATCATCATTGCCGGTATCTCCGGATCAAAAAGAAGGCTCCGCCGCGCATCGGTCAACTGTAGCCTAAACTCATCCGAGACGCCTGATCGCTTCGCCCGACATGGATATCATGGGGGCCGTCGCGGATTGTGGGGGAAAAATACAAATGTACGGTGTGCGTAGACTCATCATCACCTCATCCGGTGCCCATCAGCATACGCAGCATACGCAGCATACGCAGCATACGCAGCATACGCAGCACGCCGCAGCGGTGATGGGCCATCCAACAGTCTTTCCTGCTGCAGCTTTTCCCTGCTGCAGCCTGCTTTCCTTGCTGCAGCTTGCTTTCCCTGCTGCAGCCTGCTTTCCTTGCTGCGACCCTCCCGTCTCCCTCTGTCGTCCGTGCCTTGGCAGCACAACGGCACAGCGCGCCGTGCCGGACACGCAGCTTAGACAATCATCTGCGCGACGCCGTGGCCGCCGAGCGTCTTGGAGCCGACAAAGTCCTGGCCCTTGACGGCGGCGAGCAGGTAGAAGATGCCGGCAATCAGCAGGAAGACCCCGGCGGCGATCAGAGAGGTCCTCGAGGCGATGGTGCTGAGGAACTGGATGACGGCCATGACGGCGTAGGCGGCGGCGCGCATGTAGTTGGTCGAGACCTTGCGGATGGCTTCGTCGAACTTGGACGAGGTCGGGCAGATGCTGAGGAGCAGGGGCACCTCGATGAAGAGGATGACAAAGGCGGAGACGCTGCGCGCAGGGATGAGCGGTTGTCACGATGGAGATGGAGACGGCGGCGGGGAGGGAGAGGCTCACAGGGCGAGGGCGCAGAAGATGATGATGACAACGTTAAATGTGAAGATGTTGGCGATGCCCAGCGCCAAGCACAGGATCATGGCCAAGATGCCGGCCCTGTCGAATGTCAGCTCATGTACCAGTCTGTATCGGCGAGGGCCCAGCAAGGCTGAGCGCCATGGCATCGGGCGTGTCGGCAGAGCTGCGATGGCTTCGTCGCAGGGGACGAGGGAGCATGACGCAAGGTTCGGCGCGAGCTTACCATTGTCCGTAGATGCCTGCACAGGGTTAGCGAAAGGAACTGGGCGTCAAGTCAATTGCGTCGAGGAGATGCATACTGAAGTTGCGGGTCTGGAACTCCTCCTTGAGAGTCATGATGGAGACGAGGTGGTAGTGATGGTTATGTCGTGTCAGAGCTGTCGTGCCGGAGCTGTCGTGTTGTCGATCGAGTATCGGAAGCTAATGCCGATCAAGTATCGGAAGCTAGTGCCAATCGGATCACGGTCGTAAGATGGTGCTCGTGAATCGTTTGTCGGGATGAATGGTGGTAGCAGATGCGATGGGGGATGGAAAGAGGCGACGACGTCTGGGAGAGAGAAAAGTGGTATGGTCGGCAATGGCTGTGTTGTCGACGAGAGGATCCGTCGTTACGTTGCCTCTCGGGGGTCCTGGTTGGCGGGTGGAGGCTGGTCGTCGTGTCTTGGAGTCTTGCGTGGCTCCACTCTCCTTTGGCCGGGCAGCGGCTCCTCACACACACCTGCCTCGACAACGGCGGGCGCCTTCCCAGGCGAGGTGTCCTGCGGCGTCAGTGAGGCGAGGTGTCCTGCCGCGTCGGAATGACTTGGCGGCTGCAAGTGGCAGCTGACGGCAAGTGCTGCTCGCGCGCCTTCTGTCAGTGCTTGTGTGCCTTCTGTCAGTGCTTGTGCGCCTTGTGTCAGTGCTGCTTGTGCCTGCCTTCTGCGAGTGCCTTCTGCGAGTGCCTTCTGCGAGTGCCTTCTGCGAGTGTCTTCCGTCTGCGCCTTCTGCAAGTTCTTCTGCAAGTGCCTTCTGTGAGTGCTGCCTCCTGCAAGTGACCCGTCTGCAGCGATCGCCGTTCGAGCAAAGCACCTGTGAAACACGCTCCGAACACGTTCTGCTTGACCCCTTGGCACGGATTGCCTGTTGGCTCTAGCACTGTGTTTTCCCTTCGATTGATTGATTCGATAGTGATTGCTTCGTTGCACGAGAACAATGCCAGGACAGGAGCATCAGATGAGCCGAAGAACTGGTCCCCACGGAAGACACATATACTACTTTGCTCGCATCAGGCAGCTGCAAAGCATCGCCGCAGCCGCAGCCGTGACGAACAAGAGTACGCGTACGTACCACTGCGCGGCCTCTAGGCGGCGACATGCTGCGCTTGGCCCAACGTGCACGCACAACGCCCATAGCCCGATGGCCTTCTTCTACCAACACTGGGGACCGTCGGCCCCAACAAGTCATTTGTACGATGCTGCCGCCTCGTGGGGACACCAACGGTTCTGCTGTGTGTATGTGCCCGACTTCACTTACATCATCGTGTGCGGCAGCGGGTCAGATGTCCCTTCTCTGTCTGAACACTGATCTTGCAGTTGGCCTCTGGTTTTCTGTCTCTAAGCACCAGCAACACGATCCACTCTTCACAGTCATCATTGATCTCAATAGCAACATGATCGCACAATTCCGATGAAGCGCAGAGACAAGCAAGCACTCGCTGATCTGTTGCCGCGCCCTGGAGCCGTCAGACCGGGGGATCGCCTGCCTGCCTGCCTGCCTGCCTGTATGCCACTGAACGACTTGCGCTCGGCCAGAATCGCGCCGAGCGTCTAGCAGACACGCCGATTCGGCATCCCCATTTGCAAAGGGACAGGCAAGCAGGCAGTCAGTCAGGCAGACACGCAAAAATAGTCTGCCCCTCAAGGTCCTCAGACCTGTCCAGGGGCCGTCGACTACACTAGAAGCAGCCGGCCGACTTGCTACAGGAACAGCGCCGCTCCTCGCCTGCCTACACTGACCAGTCTGACTGTGGTCATGCGGCGGCACGAAGCTCGTCGAGGACCCTCCCTCTGCTCACCCCGCCGCGGTCGAGCTCAGCAAGCTTTCCCCGGATTTTTTTGAGAAAGAGGAAGGGGAGGGGGGGCGGGCCAGAGAAAACAGCCCACACCACGGCACTGACCACGGGCCAAGCAAGGGAGGGAGGGGCATTGGCGAAATTGAGAAGCCCTCTTTCGCAGCAAATAGTCCGCGAAATCTGTCAAGTCACGTTGACTTACTTTCTCTGGGCCCAGCTGGCACCCTGCAAAAGGAAATTCCATGCCGCCTCGTGATCGTGAAGAACCCGCCAGTCACGCCCCTGAGCGTGGCCCAAGACGGGCAAGTCCCAAGCCTAACCGGGGGCGCGGGGAGCGGATGAGGGCCAGGCAGGACCTGGCACCGTACAATGGAGGGGCACACGCTGGAGACTGTTGGTGCGAGCACTACGTGTGGTAGGTTCCCTCCCTTACTGGCACTGTGGATGATGTAGGATGGCGTTGGCCGGGGACACTGTGGGTTCCCAGTCCAAACGGAGGGGCCGTCGATTGACGTCGTCAGGGGCCCGTCTTCGATCTGGATCGATCGCACCGGAGGGGAGGGAGAGGGGGGGGGGGAGGCCCGTTTGGCAGGGACGTCAGCGAGTTTGGCGAGGGGACCGGTCGAAGGTCAAACGGAGGAAAAGCAGCGGTAGTCATGCTCAGCCCGACTTGGCCTGAGACTTGCGTGGCCTGTGACTTGGTGCTTTGATGTACTTACATGGCTGGCCGAGCCCCAGAGTGCAGAAGCTTGAACTCACGAAAATAAAGGCCTGCGTCCCACCCCGACAACAGCAGAAGCAATGGAAGAACCAGAGAACAATAGACGGCGGGGGGGTCAGGCGAGGGCTGGAAGAAGGGTATACATGGCGTCATAAGGCTTGGAGGGGCACTTTTGGAGGGCTTTCCCCACCGCCAAGAGGAGCACACTGTGCACCCCAAGAGCCCACGAAGGGGTTGAGTTGAGTTTTTCTTGAGGGGGGCATGGGCTCGCTCGCGCATCGCGCAACGTCAGCGGAGACGGTGGTCCTGAAAACGGCTCGAACCGTCACCTCAGCCAGGTGCCGTCTGTGTTGGAAAGGAGGGGCAGGAGGCGAGAGCGAGTTTCTGCGAAATGACGGTAGAGGAGGAGACGGAGGCGCTGGTCACGGCGCCGGCTCGTGTCAGCGAGTTGCTCGGAGTCGTAGGCCAGCCATCTTCAAATTGGCCAGGTTGGACGATCCAACCGGCCGGACACCGGCAAGTTGCCAGTTTGTGAAGCGATACGGACGCCGGGATTTTGGAGATTCAGGTTTTTTCTTTGGGTTAGACGGGGGGCACAAAAGCCAGACTGAGGGGGGGGGGAGGGGACCGGCACGTCGCCCGGTCAGGCCAGCTGTGATTACATAGTATGGGAGGTACATACCTAAGGCAAGGTACATACATACATAAGGTAGGTATTGCTTGTACAGGAGAAGCTGGCCGCCCTGTTTGTGCGTGCTGACCTGCTGCTGGGCCAGCCCGACCCTCTGGGGAAAGCTGCGCTGTGCCTTGCCTTGCGCCCCACCAAGCACCTGCTTCTGTCTACTTTTAGGTCCTGCCCTTTCGCGTCAGCACCACCAGCAACAGCGCAAGGCGGAAGCTTCTTGTCCCCCGCCCCAGCTCTCGCTGCAGTCAATAGGGGCACCGGCCGGGACGACAGCAGCAGGAGTCGACGTGCTCGCTTGGCTCGTCAGAAACGAGAAGGGGCAGCTCGGGGACACCAAACAGCGTCCCGATCAGCTGCCGGTCTTGCGGTGAGCAATCTCTGCGTCTCTCGTGCGTTCCTGAATGCATGTCGAGATGCGGGTGGACAGACGGGGCTGTGGGAATGCGGGCGGTCGAGACATGGGCAGGGCCCCTCGTGGTCTCCATGGCGGGGCGCTAGGAGACGCCGCACCGTGGAAAGGAGGTACGTACCTGACAGCTCGCACCGTGAGGCTGTGTCGGTACCCTACAGTAGATTCTTAGCTACCTACCTTGTGGTATTGTCTGCGTGTGCTCGATGATGCAACGGAGTCGCGACCTGGGTCAATTCGAGTCCTCCAAGTTCAAACGCCAAAACAGACGGACCGTCGTCGAGGCATCGAGGTCTCAGTTCCCGGCGTGAACCAGCAGCTACAGCCTATCGAGCGAAACAGGCGATCGACAAGACACAAAGAAGCTGACCCGACGCCGACCAGAACAGAACAGAACAACAGACAGACCCGGAGCCTCCAGCAAAAGCTTGCCGGCGCGCGGTGCGGTGGAGTCATTACGTGCTCTCAGGAGGACCCACCGATGCTCTAGAACCCAGGGCCTGGACAAATGGAGGGGCATCTGTAGGGGATGACCTCGCTGGCTTCGAAGGCTCGCAGGCGTTGCGGCAGGCCAGCAGATCATTCGCACCGTGCGCAGTGCGGGGCCAACGACACAGTGGTCTGCGACGGGGCTCGGGCATTGGCATCCCTGTTTCGCCAGGGAAACTCGCCAGGGAAACGGGCGTCGTGACTGGCCCGCCCGGTGACGAACTGGCAAAGAGTACCGCTTCTGGCCGTTGCTGGTTTCGTCAGTGTATAAGAAAGAGGTTGAAGTCATGGTGACTTCCCTCGTCGCGCCCGCCACCGCCTGTTTTGCTGCCGCCACTCTTGCTACTACTTTTTCGTACTTGCCTCCATTGACGCTGAGAATCTGTCTTTCCTCTTCTTTCAGACACCCAACAAGACTCTACCAAGAAACCCGAGCCGGAAGAGTCACAGACCACACACCCAGACGCCCCAACCATCACTCACACCTGTAAGTCGGCCATGACAAGCACTGCCTGCCTCTGATCTGTCTCGAAATCTGCCTCTTGCCATGCCCCATCTGCCTCTCCACCACCATGTGATGGAAGGACCCAAAGGACTCAAAGAACTCAAAGGCAAACAAACGGCAGCAGACATTGCCCTGGGCGCAAGGCGAACGAGAGACAATGTCTCCTGGCCCTCAAGCAGCTTCTGACAGTCCCCTTATCGCGATGAGTCGTCGTATCTGGCTGGGGGCGCTTCACCCTCGACACCTCCCTACCTCTCTGCCACCCCCTAAGCTCAAGCAGCGGGCTTGCGTTATCTTGAGCTGCCATGTATCAAGGAAAAACACGGCATTATCATATCGCATCCCTCCTATCTCTTTTATCTGCTGGCCCCTGACCTTCCCGCCCCCCCCCCTGACTCTCGCTATCTCCATTCGCTTCTCGCTCCGTTCCAGAACTGGTCTTGGGGCTGCGGCGACCGAAGAACGAGCACAAGCACGGCCGTTACTACAGACGACGAGTGCCAAAGCTTGACCTCGCCATTGGAAGCTGCGTTTTGCTTCTGACACACCGCTGCCAATCCATATGCTAATTACAGAGTCTGCGCGCGTTACAGAACATTTCCGAGTCGATCTTGCCTATCTCAACCACGATCCCAATTGCTACGTCTTTCGACCCTGCGAACTTTGCTTTCTACACTACAACAACACCACACAACCTACACACACACGGCATACCATGTCCACAGCCGCCACAATGTCGCAACCTCCCACGATTCCTCCTCGCCCTTCCAGGAGTTCAGATCGTCCTGCCCAGGCCGAATCCCAACCAATGGTCCCGCCACGCCCTATCAAGCGTTTCGACCGCTCCATCTCCCCGAATCCCCACCGATTCGCGCCCTCGCCCCTCGGACGAGAGCCCCTTCTCCAAGAGCCCCAGGACGAGCCGCT